ATATATATATATATATATATATATATGTATAAAAGAATCAGTGATATTGTTGCATCCATTATAGTAATCATTAGCAATCTTCTAATTGCTACAGTTTAAGAAAAAAATGTGTGTTTTGGTAATTTTCTTACTACTACTACCTACCCTTCCTACTTGCTCCTTCTCCTTTACGTTTGTCCTAATTTTTCCTTTTTGCTCCTGACTGTGACATGTTGGTTTCTCAGGTTCCTCCAGCTCAGACTTTACAGAAATGCCCGGCTTCACCTTCACATTCCGCAGCCCAGATGAGGTGTTCAGAGAATTCTTTGGTGGACAGGATCCCTTTGCCAGCTTCTTCGGTAAGTCAAACATATATTGGGGTGGGGTTCATCTGTTATTAGTTCAGGAACTAATACTAACATTTATTTATTCAGTCTAGACGTAAAATAAAAAAATATGATGAGAGTAATTTGTCTTAGGTCTACTGTAACCGAACTAAATTAAATACTGCAATATATTCCAAAGTTACAAATATAAGAAATAGCTTGAATATAGACAAGTATCTCAATAATAAATATCCAGAATATTACAGAGATTAAATATAAATGGTCAACATTCTACTCTAAACTGTCAACAGTAAAACCTCTAAACTGCTATTTGTTATTTTCACTGCAAAATGGAGTAACTATTGCACTGTGTACTGTACATTAGAGCTGTACAGGCAGATAGCCACATGCAGGAATTGTTTTCTGCTTCATTTAGTGGTGCATTTGGGTAATCTCAGTCTGTCTCTGAACGCACTCCTGTGATTGGCCAGCACGTCATGGACTGGGTGGGAGGTATTGTCCATTACTGTTGTATTTTTATGTACTTGCACATCTTTGTCTCTCATTCAGATGACTTCTCCTCATTTGGAAGCTCATCCTCTCGTCTCAGCCCGGGGCGATTCTTCTCTTTTCCATCAGGAGGAGGTAAAGAAGTAAATATTAGAAGTAAACTGTTTGCAGAGGATTGAAGAGGAGTTTCCCATGTAGTTTTTCCTTTCAGTTTTCCTTTACTGGTAATTAATGCAATTCTACTCAGTTAAATGTCTATTATAAGCGGTTTTTATCATCAGTGGTTGCCAGGAGTGTCTCACTCAACAAATGCCAGATTAATGATATTTGATATTGGTAATATCAAGAGTTTCACTTGTTAGTTTAAAAAATACTTAAAAGAATTAATATCAGGAGATGGTTTAGATACATTAAAAACTAATATTGCTTTCCTCTCCTCTCTTTGATTGTTTGACTCTCTACAGTTGAATTCTCCTCTTTCTCCACTACCTTGGGTGGTCTGGATGGGATGGACAGCATGGGTGGAGGGATGGGCAACTTTAGATCAGTTTCTACTTCCACTCGCATCATAAATGGAAAACGCACCACCACCAAGAAGTATGCAGTTATTTATCAATTCCTATTATGCAGCAAAGGAAGTACATATACAAGTGTATTATCTTCAAAGCAAAACGTGAAAAATTAATTGAAGAATATATTAAA